GAAAACTGGTGGTTCCTATGAGGTGTTAAACCACTGACTACACAGTTATGAGATTGTGGTTCCTAGTAGTGAACAGATTACTGATCACATGTCAAGACATCATGATTCCTAGTAGTGAAGAGGCTACTGGTCATATGTCAAGACATGATGATTCCTAGTAATGAAAGAGTCTATTGACCCTATGTCAGGACGTTGTGATTCCTAGTAGTAAAGTGACTATTGATCACAGGTTAAGACATTGTGATTCCTACTAGTAGAAAGTCTACCGACCACATGCTGAGAAATTAGTGATTCCTAGTAATAAGACTACTGACCATGTTATGAAGTTCCGAATAGTAGACTATTGAACACTGGATTTGTGTTTCCTAATAGTAAGACTATTGGCTTCAGAGTGATAGGTTGGACCAAATATATTTAGGTGCCTAATTCGGTTGATGACATTCTGGGAATGTATTTACTGTGATATGATTTTGAGAGTTTCATAATCATTGTGACACAAGGATTTGTTTAAAACTTTGTATAAATTCTACAAAGAAGACCTGATTATCCGACTCCGTAATGAGGAGGATAATAGAAAGAAAGGAGGGAGTACCTCCTCAGTGAAGGCCAATGTCATTGAGCATGGCAAATTTTCTGGGATGAGGAAGGAGCCCCCCCTTGAACAAGGGCTCTTAGCTGGGGCCAAGGGATGGTGTTGCAAAGAAGCTTGCATACAAACCGCGGGAACCTGGTTCTTGGTTCTTTGGGAAGTGCTACAACTGTGGTAGCGAGGCTTTTAGTTTTACTAGGGCTACACGCCACATCTGCTCCGAGAATGAGTTGTTTATAACTTTCAAACCGGTTACAAACGGTGAGAAGTTGTTTATGGGAAACTCTACTACCTCATTTGTTGAGGGAAAGGTGGTCCTGATGTTAACCTCAGGTAAAGAGCTAACCTTGAACGAAGTCCTGTATGTTCCGGACATTCGTTAGAATCTTGTCTCAAGGTCTCTTCTCAGTAAACATGTTTTTTGCATGGTTTTTTGAGTCCGACAAGGTTGTTCTGACGAAACACAAGTGTGAAACTTGTGTTGAAACGAAGTCGACAAGATCCCGTATGAGTTATGGAAAGGCGTTAAGCTTTCTTATAAATTCTTACGAATGTGAGGGTGTCTTGTAATAGTAGCGATTCCTACACCCTAACGGGTTAGGATAGGCCCGAAATCTGTGGATTGTATATTCATTGGTTATGCACATAATAGTAGTGCATATCGGTTTCTTGTTCATAAGTCTGAAATTCCAGACATACACAGGAATACCATCATGGAGTCAAGGAATGCGTGTTTCTTTGAAGACATTTTTCCTTGCCAAACCCATGTAAGGGTTCCAAGGTCTTTGGAGCAATTTGATGAGCTTGCTAGTGAGGATGATCATGTTGATAATCCAGGTGATGATCAAATTGAGGTTTTAGATGAGCCCAGACGGAGTAAAAGGGCTAGGACATCCAAATCTTTTGGTCCAGACTTCTTGACTTATATGGTTGAGAACGAACCTCAAACTTTCCACGAAGCTGTGACTTCTCTTGAGAGTCCTTTATGGAAAGAAGCGATCAAAAGTAAGATTGACTCCATCTTACAGAACCACACCTGGGAGTTGGTAGATTTACTTCCAGGTTGTAAGCCTTTAGGCTGCAAATGGATTTTTAAACGAAAAATGAAGGCCGATGGGTCTATTGACAAGTATAAGGCGAGGCTCGTTATCAAAGGGTACAGGCAACGAGAAGGCCTGGATTACTTTGATACGTACTCACCTGTAACTAGGATAACATCCATTCGCATAGTGATTGCAATAGTAGCTTTGCGCAATCTTGAGATACACCAGATGGATGTAAAGACAATTTTCTTAAATGGGGATTTGAATGAAGAAATCTACATAGAGCAACCTGAAGGGTTTTCAGCTCCAGGACAAAGCAAGAAAGTCTGTAAACTTGTCAAATCTTTGTATGGTTTGAAGCATGCGCCTAAACAATGGCTTGAGAAGTTTGACAATGCAATGTTGTCAAATGGGTTTCGAATCAACGAATGTGACAAGTGTATTTATGTCAAAGACACTGACAGAGGTTATGTCATTTTTTGTCTATATGTTGATGATATGCTCATTATAGGTAGTTACGATGAAATGATCAAAACTACCAAGAAGTTGTTAAACTCTAAATTTGACACGAAGGATATGGGCATTGCAGATGTTATTCTGGGAATTAAGATTACCAGAATCTCTAGCGGATTTGTACTTTCTCAGTCTCATTATGTTGATAAGATACTTGAGAAGTTTAGTGGATCAGATATGAGTGTGTCATCAACACCTGTAGACTTAAGTCTACACTTTACCAAGAATAATAAAGAGAGTGTCTCTCAGTTATTCTCGGGTAATTGGAAGTTTAATGTATCTGATGAGTTGTACTAGGCCAGATATAGCTTACTCGGTTAGTAGGTTTAGTAGATACACAAGTAATCCTGATGCTTCTCATTGGAAGGGCATTGTGCAGGTGTTAAGGTATTTACGCTACACTCGGGATTATGGGCTGCATTATACTCGATATCCAGCGGTGCTTGAAGGATATAGTGACGCGAATTGGATATCATATATAAAGGACTCAAAGTTCACTAGTGGATATGTGTTCGCTCTTGGTGGGGGCAACCGTGTCTTGGAAATCTTCCAAGCAAACATGTATATCTAGATCAATGATGAAATCAGAGTTTATTGCTTTGGATAAAACAACGGAAGAAGCAGAATGGCTTCGCCATTTCATTGAAGATATTCCACGTTGGTCTAAACCTGTGCCAGCTATTTGTATTCATTGTGATTGTCAATCTGCAATTGGTAGGGCACAGAGTAATATGTATAATGGAAAGTCTAGACATATTCGTCGTAGACATAATTCCATACGACAACTACTCTCGAATGGAGCTGTCTCTTTAGACTATGTAAAGTCTAAGAACAACATTGCGGATCCGCTAACCAAAGGGTTAAGTCGAGTGTTAGTCGGAACGTCGTCAAAAGGAATGGGGTTAAGGCCTTTGGAAGTTACCGGAATGGAAACCCAACCTAGTTGACTGGAGATCCCAAGATCTAGGTTCAATGAGACAACCTAATTGCGTGTAACGGTGGTATGTCACTGAGGAGGTTAAACCTCCAGCCATTCCTTCTATTAATGACGCCTGCAAGTGTAGAGGTTAAGCTGAGCTTTTAATGACTCTAGTGTGTTAAGCTGTTGAGCTGAGTATTACAGGATACTCAAGTAGAGTCACCTATGTGAGTGTGAAGTGGGGCCGCTTCTAGAAGAATTGGGTAGTCCAAGATTATTTGAAACCACTTGCTGAACCAGGCTAGTGTCCAGGGCCACACAGGGCACACCAGTGAGAACATAATGGTGGTAGGAGTAATTCCCGTGTGAGATCTATTGTCTCAGTTTACATAAACGGCAGAGAAGTTCAAGATGTCTTTTTTACTGATCAGCCAGTAAACTCGATAGGTTTTCACTGAAAGAGGTTCAAAGCCAAAAGCTACATTCTCTAATGTCAGGGTTAGTCCGTTGTACTCTCTCTCAGAGTCTTTATTGTTGAATGATGTCCGTTTGTTGAGTCATTCGGTCATTTTTTATTCATGTGGGGGATTGTTGGAAAAAATGATTTTTGGGGGCTTTAATTTAATATTAAAGTGTGGTGATTTTAATTAAATATTAAAGTGGATCCTAACCATTTTTTGTGTTGGGTCCAAGTGAGCCAAAAACCATTGGGTTTTGAATAAGAAATTGCCAAGAAATTGCTTCATGATGTTAGATTCATGAATAGGATTTTAAAGAGTATTTAAATCTTTTTTCTTGGCTAAAGGGTGTGAATCCTTTGGGCATCCATACTTTTCATTTTGTGGAAAGGGGCTATGGATGCTTGGTGTTTTAATGACTAGCCTTAAAGGCTGGAGGTTTTTCCTCTCTCCCCTATACATGTATAAATTGAGACCCTCCTGTCAAGTTTCAATATAGAAATTTTTGCTTCTATTTTACAAGTCAGTTTGCTTGATAGTTCATATTGTGAGAGAGTGCTGCCATTGTTTTGTTTGCTAAGCTAGACAGATAGTGCTTCTGTCGTAGCTGGTTTTGACCATCGTATCCTGGGAGACAGAAGCCGGGTTTCCTCAAGCACTCGACCCGTGAGGCGGCGAAATCTGTTTTAAGGAAACTGCTTCCGTGCAGGCTTCGGTTTTGTCTCTTTACCCTTTATTGTTTTTTGTGTATTTCTGTCGAAATTTAATTGTAATTATCAGCATATGTTCTTGCTATATAATTTGATTTCTTCATAAATCTATTTATTTAATTTCACAATTTTGAACAACACCACCATCGCAGCAGCGACCCACCATCGCGACACACCTGTCGTTCATTAAATCATGGTCGAAAATCACATATCGATTCGACCATCAACATCCAAACAAAACATATTGGTTTGACCTTCAACATCCGAACAAAACACATTTGTTCGATACTGTACTTTTGAATCAATGTGTTTGGTTCGAAGAAGGCAGAAAGTGGAGACGGCAGCGATTCGCTTGGCGGCCCCAAAGAGAGAGAGAGTTGTAGATGGCAAGGAGGAGGCTTCGATGGGAGAAAATAGGGACTGGAGAGTGTGAACAACGAGCGATGAGGTGGAGATGGGCTTTCGAGAGAAGAGAGGTTAGTGGGCGAGATAACGGATATGGTGGCGGACGGCGGTGGAAATGATTAGGGCTAAAGTTTTGGTTGAAGAAGAAATGGATATTTTGGTAATTTTATTTTAAGATACAAACTGTAATAAAAAAAATATCATTATGTGTGTGAAAAGAAGGGAAGTGATTTGTGCAAATAATAGGTTGAACATGCCCAAATTGTACCCTGCACGATAATAGGTACTTCTTAGCAACACTTGTTAAAAAGAGGGGTCATAACAAAATTAAACCTAACTACGGCGTAATTTGCAAAAAAAGACAAAAATATCTTCTTCTTCTTCTTCTTCGGTCTAGGGTTTTTTGTTCGAACTTCAACCTCAGTCACAGGTCGAAGCTCTCAATACTCAGAGTCAGTAACAATGGCAGACTCGATTTGCAGAGCTCTTCGAGACGGAGCATTAGAAGGAGAACACGCACCGGCTCTCACAATAAAGGACTCCATAGCCTCACCTTTCGGACCTATCGTTTTCAATCACGTCCTCGTCCAACTCTCCTCCAACATTTTGGCGCGAAAATCGCAATCACAGTTAGTTTAATTCTCTCCAGAAATCAAATTTTATATTATTATCGATCTTTGATTACTAACTCTTAACTGTGTGATTGTACTTGTAGAGGTATTGTGCTTGTTGCTTTGTCTCGGAGTCCATCTTTCTATGTTGATTTGTTGAAGAGTAGAGGCATTGATGTCGATTCCTTACATGAATGGTTAGAATTTTGATTTGCTTGAATGTATGTTTAGATTAATGCTTTGTAAATTTGAATGTAAAAAATTATGTTTTTTTTTTAGAGTATGGCGATTTGTGAATGACAATGTTGGGACAGGCTTAGGGTTCTGGATTGTTATACTGATCCTCTTGGTTGGAAGGATCGGCTTGTGGAGTGTGGAAGCATTACCAATCCCTCTCCAGAAGCTTCAAACAAAGTTAGGTTGTGTAAGGATGTAAGAAATTTGGACAACTTGTCTTCTTCAATTATTGAAATGGGGAAAGGTATGGTTGTAAACCAAGTATGTACCATCTTTTATAGGATGTGTATGTGTATAATGTCAAAATAGTTAGAATTTCAATGTCCTTTCTTATATTCTCAATATTTTTTTTTAATACAATATTCACACATTTTATGCACTTTTTACACATAATTGGGCAGTCATTTCTCTTAAAATCAAAGAAATAGTATATCTTGAATTATGGTACTTTTGGTTTTGATATGATGCACACATGTTTTAAGGGGGTTAGGAATATTGTGAACATACTAGACCAAACTATGAGGGCTCCTAATTGCTGCATGACTTGATTGTTGCAGAATTGGTAGGACAAGGAAAGGGGCGTTTCTCGGTTGCCATAGACTCGGTAATTTCAAGTTTCTTAATAGTGAATTTTGATTGACGGCAACAACTATAATTTTACCAAATGCATACAAAAAGCCCAATGCATTTGCTATGAACATGGAATGAATTTAAAGTTATGCAGTGCTGTGACATGGAAATTGCTGACAAACAATTTTTAATTTGACATACAGTGTGCTCCAGTGATTTTCTAATTATCATTTATAGTCTTTAATGAATAGTAAAGTTGTTATGCTTTTGTTGCTGCATGAAAATTCTGTCTGAGGGTTCTAGTCTCTTTTAGGGGGGTGATGGGGAAAACTTCTGATCAGGTCCTAGTCATGTACCACCAAGCAGTATGGGGACTAAGCTTGCCAGAAAAAGTTTAAAAAACATTATCAGGATGAATATTTTTTTCCCTTTATATGAATTGAATGAGGAAATTTCTCTCCAAATATCAGTCACGTACCAATTAGCTGGATTTGATTGTTTTTGTTGTGCTTTCCAAATGTAGCTGACACCAATTTGGCATTATTTGGCAACCTAAGAGAATGGTTTATTGTGCCATACTGTCTAGTTATTAATGGCCTGGTGATTCTGGCATATTCACATGGGTTCCAGTAGCTTGTTCAATTATTGATTACTGTACATTGATTTTTCTTCTCAAATTACTATGACAACCTGTCTCTCATCAGCCATGGTTTAAGGAATTAAAATAAGATTTTAGGGCATATAAGTTGGATATGTTTGGAAAAGATTCAGGTTTTGGTGATCAGATGTTTGAAAATTCATTTGATAAAAAAGTGTTCAAAGATCACGGGTGACTCGGGTTGACATTTAGGGAAGTAACTAAGTACATTACAATCAATTAATGCATTTTTTAATTTTTAATTTAATACTATTCAAATTTGTAGTGATCTTTTAAATTTCTGCAGTTTCTAGTGGTGCATATCGCATTTCATTGTAATGAACTCCATTTAGCCTAGTTATAATTATTTGTTGTTTCTTGTGTAAATTAAATTATAATAATCACAAATAAGCAAGGTTGTTAAAATTAGGATCCTAGGTAGGATCGGTGAGAGGGTCTCGTGGATCGGATTGTAGGATCGGATCGAAGATCGTAAGATCCTATTTTCTATTAAAAAAAAAGATAAAAATACAAATTAGAATGATACATATTAAAAATGAGATGAAAAATCAAAAAATCTACGATCCTACGTATGATCCTACTATGATCCCTTACGAGCCTGCACGATCCCATACGATCCTGTTATAACATCTATCCTACAACGAGCTAGATCGCTTGAGCAATGTAGGATCGTTATGATCCGGATCGCGATTTTAATAACCGTGCAAATAAGCTTAGTTACTTTTAATGTCAGAGTTTGTCAATTGTAATATATTTACAAGGTAAGCATTTATTTTGTGATTATTAACATTTTACTTTTATGATTAGTGATATCTTATTTTACTTTAAATTTTTTTGTAAATAGGTGGATTTGGATGGCATATGCACCCATTGAATACACATTTTTAAGACTGTAGGATTAAATTCACTACGTTTTGGAGAGAAAATGCCTAAGTTCAAAGAGGTTGACGTATTAATACAGCGTAGCAGTTTCTTTTGCTGATATTTTGGAAGTACTGCAATATTTCATGCTCAGAGATTGTAATTTTTCTATTGCCTTTTGAAATTTGTTTGGTCCTTGGCCCATCATACTTCTGCACATGGTGAAAGGAGGGAATTCCAATGACATTTTCTCATTGGTGACTAATGTGGAAGAAATCCTGTAAGCAAATGGAATAACATCTCTTGTAGTCTTAAATTTTCATGGATATGCAAGACAATAACTACGTGCTCTAATCTGCACTGAGCTGATGGGAAAGCATTATTAGGAATAGAAACATATTGTCCTGTAAATAATTTGAGTACAAGCATGGTTACTAAAATTGCGATCCGGATCGTAAACAGTCCAGATCGTTGTAGGATTGATGTTATAACAGGATCGCAAGTAGGATCATGTAGGGTCGCATGGGATCATGCAGGATCATAAGTAGGTCGTAGATTTTGTTATTTTTCACCTTATTTTTAATGTGTACCATTCTTATTTGTATTTTTATCTTTTTATTTTTTTAATAGAAAGTAGGATCTTATGATCCTCGATCCAATCCACAAGACTCTCTCACCAATCCTACCTAGGATCCCGATTTTAACAACCTTGAATACAAGTGGGCCAATAAAAAAGATGGCTTTATAGTACTTTCTTGTCACGTTATAGACTGCCATCTGGTGGTTCTGGTATACTTGTGCTGCTTATAAAAAAAAAACTCTTGATTGACATTTGTCAGCCATCTTTCACAGATTACTGAGATATGCCCATTTCCTTCAGACATAGTTTGAAATGATTAGGGAATCTAAAACACGAAATCTAACTTTGATACTGTTTATTCAATGAATGCTGCTTCCAGTCAATGATATTCGGACTCTTTTATGTAATGATTATTTCAAATTATACAAAAAATTTGTATGAGATTATAGTGAGAAGAATTGTCTTAGTTTCAACAGCTTAGGAATGCAGATTAAGTGATAAATTTGTTCAAGTAGAATGTATTTCATGATTTTTGTACATGGAAATTAGATACCAAAATATATCTCATACATAATAGTTCAAATCATAAAATACACTGATTTTTAGCCTGCTGGTATTTTCAAAATATTGGAAAAGTTAAATGTTCAAAGTGTTGCATGCTTTCATAGAAGTGTAGTAACCTCTCATTGCACATGATAGAAGAGGGACATTAGGTATGTTTTTGAATATTTATTTTTCTTTGGCTGCCATTTTGTTGAAATCAATGGCCGGCACATTAGTGTATTTCAGTAAACATAACTCGGAGGTAGTAGTTTTGCTTTGGAGTACTTCGAACAAACAAGTCCTTGTCTCAGAGTGCGTGATTGCTTTTCTATGTCTGCCACTAGCAGATATATTTGTTTTCTTTTTTCTTCTGGCATGTGATTGCTTGGATGCTCTCTCTGCATATATATTTTACAAGTACTATTCTTATCTTTCCAGGCAACTGACATGCTAAGACATGCATCAATATCTTCAGTAGCTGCCCTTTTAAGCAGCCTTCGTAGCCATGGTATGTATCTTTTGTACTACTAATCTCTCTCTTAGTTCTTTCTTCCGTGATTCATGAAGAACTATAATATTTGTTATATGTTGTACAGATCATTAGATTTGCATCTTCAACTATTTTATAAGGTGAGATCTATGTTACACAGACGCTTCTAAATTTGTGAAGTATCCGTGTTGGACACTCGACACTTGAGTAAGGGATATGGGTTGTGTCTGACATGTCTAACTGGACACACACTCATTAAGGATGCCTAAATAGGCGAGTTTACGTCATAACTATGCATGAAATATCAAATTTTGTAAACCCTATTTTACCCTAAAAAAATAAAATAAAGTAGGTAAGAAATATGAAATCTAACTATGTCCTGGTGTCCTTGGATGTGAGAATTAGATGAATCCAACTCTTGGATATATACCAACACCTGACCCCTGAGTCCGTGTAACATAGGTTGAGATTATTAAAAGTAAAAGCAAAATTTGGGTTTTTGAGAAAAGTAGAACTGCACAATGGTGGCTTCCAAAGCCTATGCAACTTGACTTCTTGTTTATCTTGTGTAGTCACTCTACAAGCTTTTTGTCCATGTGACCATCTCAGCATGTAAATTAGTTGACAAATCTCCAAGGTCTTGCCATCATTGCCCATGTACTGCCCTGGTACAAGCTCCAGGGTTCAGTTACCCTCGTAAATTACCCACATTATCCCTGATGCAGGTTCTAAGGCCTGGACTTAGGTAATTGTTCCATGCAAGTGTTGGATGACTTGGATGCCTGGTCTGCACTCCTATTTTCATATGATGGTTGCAATGGTTTTCTTATAAAGGAACTATTCTTTTGTTTCTTGGAAAAACAAAATTCAGCATATACTGTACAGCAATAGTGAAGGGCTGATGTGGTCCTTGCAGATGAAAGAATTGTTATCAACATTATCCTCTGTACTCGTGAAATTTTCCTAATAACTGTTTTCTGCCAATTGCCTTGTGATATCGCAATGTACATCATTGGTGTTTAAATTTTAACAGATAAGTTTCTCATAATATTGAGAACTTCTCTTTTATAAGTGCAGAAACTTGCAGTTTTAATTCTTTTTTTGGTACAATCGTAATTTAGTTTCCATTGTTTTATTTTAATCTTTTTCGTTTCTATTTGTAATTTGTTTTCTTGGTTGCAGCCCAAGTTTCTTGTGCATTTTGGTTATTGCATTTGGACCTTCATGAAGTCAGGGTCACTTCTGTTCTTGAATATTTGTCCTCTATGCTGGCCAATGTAGAACCAATGACTCAATCAACAAATGGACAGAGAGGCAACTCTGAGAACTTTTCTCTGCTTGAACAGAATTCTAAGAGAGGAAAGTTTAATGTTCGCATGAAGCGCCGAAATGGACGAGTTAGACTGATGGTGATCTCTCTTTCTCTCTCTAGTGGTGTCTCTGTGTGAAATTTGGCAATTTGTATGTGGTAACTCATCTAATATTATTGTAATACTTCTGTTAGTTTGAAGAGTTCTGCATTGAGCAATCGGGTATAAAATTTACACCTGTTTCTTCTGATGGTGGAATAGTCACTCAAAGTCTTGTGCCTAAGGTTAGTTTTGCCTAGCTTCATCTTGATTGAAACTTGTAATCTCTCTCTCTGCATCATACAGGCTACAGCGGAGACACGTTAGCACCTAAGCTTTGAACACACTACATAAACACATTGGCTAGACACAGATTCAACATATAATATAACATTATGGCGTGAGTGTTTCTCTTGGCAGGTGCAATTCAATCTACAACTGTCAGAAAAGGAGAGAATTGAGCGGGCAAAGGTTGTACTTCCATTTGAGCACCAAGGTATGCATGCATCTCAAATTTGGATACTTGTTTTGAGAACTTGTGCTGAACCATATATTCTGGGAAGAGGGACTTTTTAAAATATATATATATATATATATTTTTATCAGGCATTTTTTATCTTGATGTGAACGTGTTTTTGATACTTGCCTGCTGACCTCTGGTTTGCTTCAGGAAATGGAAAATCCATTGAAATCTATGATGGCCGAAGATATCTCACTGAGAACAAAACTGAGACCACATCTAATTTTGATGAGAAATTGCAAACAAATGAGGATCCTGGCAGGGGTGAGATTATCTATTTTCGTGATTCAGACGATGAAAGGCCAGATTCTGACGAGGATCCAGATGATGATTTGGACATATGACACCACCATTCTGCTCTTTAATGCCAGAAATTGTTTATAAGCATCACACATTAGACCATCTTCAATGATTACTCAAATTTATCATTAAATTTGAATTTGGTGAAAAATCATTCCTTTTCCTGTTTCAACGGTTTCATCAAGTATCAAATTTAGGATTTCACTTTTCTTTTATCAAACTGAGAATCAAGGTGCCTTTTATCATATCATTATTCATAGCCGTTTGATTTTCTCCAGCGGATGTCTTCTCAGATGACCACCTTAAGGCAAAAATTTGTAAAAAAATTATATTGACCAGTCGGTCCCTCGGTCATTCGTTCGGTTGACTTCCTGGATGACCACCTCAAGGTAAAAATTTGTAAAAAATTTACATTGGCTGGTTGACCGGCCAAACATCTGCTCGGTCGATCGGTGTTCTGATGAAGCTTTAAAATTTTCTGTTGAAGCATATCAAATAAAATTTTTACCCAAATTTAATGAAAAATTTAATACATAGATGGTCTTAGCTCATTTTTGGACCACCACCTACTTTTGAATCAGTGCATGACCCCAAGCATGGGCGGAGCTATGCATAAAGTAGTGGGTTGAATTGAACCCACTAAATTTTGATTATTTTTTTTTTAAAGAATTATGTAGTGTTATATAAATTTTTTGAGAGGCTTTCATAAATTGACAATATTAAAATTGTTCTAAAAATTAGATTTATTGAGACAAAAAAAAAATTAAAAAAACAAAGTTTAAAAAAATAATTAATTTTATACTTAATATATTAAAAAATTAAAAAGACAAAGTTTAAAAAAATAATTAATTTTATACTTAATATATTTTTATATCGTTTTTTGTTTAGCAATGAATAACTATTAATGGTTGAATATGAATATGAATGATATTTATGTCATGTGGTTGTCAATATGTCATTTCTTATTTAATTTTGGACATAAGTTAACTTTTAGAGTAAATTAAAAAAAAAAAAAATTGAAATATGAAAGATTAAAGTAAAAATAAATAACTTTTAAATATCAAAATGATAAAATAATTAAACATGAAGGAGATATGGTGTAATTTACCTGTTAATGTATAGTATCTCCCACAAATTTTGACAGTTTCTATTTTTGAATAATTCTGTATAGATCCCATTATAATCAGTAGACCCAATTGGCTAATTTAATTCTATCCATCTAACAAACAATTGACCAATCATGTTGTAGAGGACACAAGCTTGACTTGATATGATTCGTGACAACCATGATCCCCACCTAAAAGCTATTAATCTGATTGCAAATTTCACTTCTGAATTTCTAATTCTCTCTTACCAAACGGATTATAAATGAAAAAAAAAAAAAAAAATCTTGGGAACTAATTGCTAAATTTTAGGTTGACACAACTTGTCGGTCATCGTGTTTGTGCACCTAACACTAACTTATTGTCTCCTTAACCAACTCTATTTGACAATTTTACAGATTTAGGCTATCTTTTTCTGTCTCTTCAAGACTCTTTTTTCTTTATTTTTAATGCTATGATATTACTACCCATTGTCACTCAGATTTAACCTCTACCAGTTATGTTTTGGACCTTGTAACAAAAAAAAATTAAAAAATAATCTAAAATTTTATACATAATTAGAAATAGACAAATAAAATATGAATATGAGTTACAACACATTAATTTTATAATTAAGTTTTCATGATAACTAAAATTATTAGACCTAAAAACAAATAATTATTCGGCATTTTAGAGCACATGTAAAATTCCTTACATGGTACTCCAAATTAATCACATAATAAAAAAATTTATGAATAAAATGTATTAATTCGCCTTTTTTAAGTAGTTAAGAATCAAAACATCACTTGAACCGACATCCAGTTGGCCTGACCAAGCCTAACAGGCTTTTTTTTGATGAGCTGAGTTGGGCCAATCTATGAGACAAAACCTTAGGCCTAAACATACCCAACATGCTTGGCCCAAAAAGACTAACAAGAAGGGTCGTGGCCTAGGCCAACAAGCCACTTCTCACAGGCCGAAGCCAAGTCCGATAGGACGAGATTCATGTCTTATTTTTGAGTTATTCATTTTCATATTTTTTTTTGGATAAATTACAAACACACCTCATAAGATTTACTAAAATTACAAATTATCTCATGTGATTCTAAAAATTACATTATGTTCTTTAAGATTTTTAATTTCATAATGAATAGATCATTTTATTAATAAATCATCAAGTTAATTAACAGTTTTTAATAATGTTAAAATTTTATTTTAATTAATAATTCAGATAATTTAATTATTGTATAGGTGAACAGTTAGAAATTTTACTTTTTCAATTAATTCTGTTAAATAAAAAATTCTGACAATAAGTTATTTGTAATTTTTCAAACCACATAGAGCACAATTCGTATTTTAAGCAAATTTTAAGGGTGTATTTGCAATTTATTCTATTTTTTTTGTAGGCTCATTAGTCAGGTTGAGTGGAGCTTCAAATATTAAACAAAAATGTTTTGAAATTCTAATTTGTAAATTTTAATAACTTTAATGTGTATGTAATATTTATTTGATGTGATGTTTTAATCTTTTTTATTTTTATTTTCTACCTCATTAAAACTCAATTAAAACTCTAATTTTAAAAAAATGTACATTGTTGAATATTAAATTCAAATCCAACCCCAGCCTCATTTCAGCCTGTCTAGCTCCATGATATAAGCTTGGGACAAGTAAAAGTCCTGTCAGTCCAATAATAACTTTTAAATGCTTTAAGTAATAAATTAATGATTTATATCTCTAAATTTGAAATTTTAATGATGATTTTAATGGTATGTTATGAAATAAAATAAAAAAACAAGATATATATATATATATATATATTAAATTATTCATGAGGGAAGTCCAATGCTATATAAATAGAGTTTTACTTTTAATACTCTTAAACATTTTTCTAAGTAATATGTGTTGTAATTTTGTTATTAAAAATTTAGATATAGAGACGATTGAATATAAAAATTGTACATTCCATCGTTTGGTCAAAATTTATTAACTTCACTTGTCATAGTGTTGATCGCAACTGTTATGATCTTTCAATCGTCTGACTAATCATCCATAGAGCGATTTTTATATTTGATTTTATATTTGGTCCTACCTGTACTGAGCATTGCTTTTTATTATTATTATTATTATTAATCGGAGTCTACTACTTTGAAAGTATTTTGCCACCTTTTGCTTCACGTTTCATATCTCCCTCCAATCAGTTGACGAAGCTCTAGTTTCTCTTCAACGAGAAAGAGCTCTCTCTCTCTCTCTCTCTCTCTCTCTCCTATTCATGACTTTTCCAGTCTCGGAATTCAATTCCGCACATCTATTTAGAACTCCGAGAAAGTAAGAGAGAAAGTGATTTCCCTTTTCCCTAATATTCAAACTCGTGTTCAGTTTTCCTTTTGACTATATAATAACCCAACCCATCTCTGATTTGCATGATTCCTTAATTTTCCCGGAAAATCTCATGGCGGTAGAGTTCTACTCTGAAAATTCTGGCCTCGTTATGAGTCCTAGAATCTCATTCTCTTACGATCTCTCTCGCTCAGACGTCGTGCCGGTCGAGCAACACGTTTTTCGATCGAATTCCGGGATTGATTTCGATTTCTGCATTCGCGAGAGCTACGATCTTCAAGAATCTTCCTCGGCAGACGAGCTTTTCTCCGACGGAAAGATCGTTCCTACGAATCAAATCAAGAAGAAGATCGTTGCTCGAAAACAAATTCAACAAGAAGAAATTCACAAAAGTTCAAACGATGAGAGACGGAAGGAGGAAAAACAGAGCTCTAGCTCGAACTCGAAGTCGTTTTGGCGATTCAAGCGGAGTAGTAGTTTGAATTGCGGCGGTTCTGGTTATGCGCGAAGCTTGTGTCCTCTACCTCTTCTTTCGCGAAGCAATTCAACTGGTTCGGCGACGAGTGTGAAGAGATCGTCGTCTCAGAAACAGAACTCGCAGAAAACTCCTTGTGTTGCAGCATCGAAGCTATCGCAGTCTTCGTCTTCGAGTGGTGGTTATCAGAGGCCTCCATTGAAGAAGAGTTATGGAGCTTATGGCAATGGAGTTCGAATCAATCCAGTGTTGAATGTTCCTTCTGGTAATCTTTTTGGTTTTGGTTCAAAGTTGTTCAATGGTAAGGATAAGAACAAGAAAAAATGATGATTAAACACTGGGAAATCGATTTAAATCGCTTCTTTGATGATTTTTGTGGATATTGGGTTTTTGTTTTCTTTATTTTTGATTTTATGTTTTCTAAAATAAAATAAGAAAAAGCTCAAAAACACCTATAGTTTGAAATTAATTTTTGAAAATTTAAAAATATTTTATTTTTTTGTGCGTGTGTGTGTGTGTGTGTTTTTTTGGTTTGTTGAAGGAATCTTATTCATTAAATTAACTAGAGGATTCAAAATGTGATTGTCGGCCAACTCGTCTTTACATCATTTATTTCAGAGGACTCGTCAAATAAATTATTTATATAAAAAATTAAATTAATTAAATATTAATAATCATAAGACTAAAATACATTTATTTAAAAAAAATAAATAACAAGCATGATTTTACAAATGCATTATTTATTTTTTTAACTTAAGTATATTTTAGTTAAGTGGCTACTTATATTTAATTTTTTATATAAATAATTTACTCCTATAAAATGATTAATTTAAATGGTCAATCGAAGCTAAGGTGGGCCCATAGTCCTCTTAAGTAGACGTTCTGATCCATTTAATGGACAAGTGGGAAGCTTTTATCTTTAGAGTATTGTTTTAAAAATAAATAAATTAGTTTGTCAAACAAGTTTATTGTATTTTTTTAAGAATAAAATAAAAAATAGAAAATGAAAACACAACTTAAAGAGATTTTAATTTATGATTAGCCATGTGAGTAGGTTAAATAACTGTAGTTGGAATTGATGAGGATTGAAAAAGGAAATTATGATGGTTGCTTGGAGGGCCAAGGGTAAGTTATTATTGATGCCACATGCTATCCAGCTCTAAAATGTTGGACAGTAGAGTTTTGTTTTTGTTGTTGTCAAATTCTGATCCTGTTTTTCTTTTGTGCAAATGATGGCCTTGGTGTGAATACTCTGCATTTTGTTTTTGCTTTTCATTTCTATCATTGTTTGATAGAGGGAAAAAGACAAAAGTAGTTGGTTGTATGTAAGGAACCATTTGAATTATTTTATAACAAAAACATAAAAACCTATTATAAAATTATATCCTTAGATGTTTGTATTCATTGTATATAAGTACAGATCAAATAGAACATGTAACTAAGGGTTGTTTTGGAAAGTTGGTAAAAAATCGACTTTCTAATTTTTTTACTTTTTTGGTGACTTCTTTGACTAAAAAAGTTAAAAAGCAAAAAAATTGACTTTTTTAACTTGTTGCCAGAAGACTCCTAGATAACCTGTTACAAAATTATCATACATCTGGTTTTCATTAACACTAGGCTCAACTCGTTCGAGATTTAACTAAAAGATAGTCAGGCCTTGAAGACAAATTTTAGGCCAATAATGCCATATACTTGCTATCTATTTATACCACATTTCAAATTACATAGTTTTCAACTTGATTCAACTCATAATATATAACACAATACTATAATACTAGGAAAAGATAACAGTCTTCAAATTCAGACATACATGAACATTCCCACCCAGAGGACAGAACATATAACAGATAAATGGCTTTCCATATTTGCTTTCTGTAACCCTTGCAATTATACTCAAACCTTGTGATACTTGTACTTCTGCTCCAGATTAAATCTAGTAGTACTGTTGTTGAATCCATTGAGTACCAGATTCCTCACTGCATCAACCCCTTGTTGCAGTGCTGCATCCACCTGTCCCAATAACCCATGACAGTTAGTCCATCAGCATGCTCACCAAATGTAACATACACACAGAGAGGTGTATATATATAAACTGGATCCAATTTTTTTAACCAAACTTGAACTTAGCTTAGAAAAGTTAGAGTACAATTAAAACTCAACAACAACAACAACAGTTGGAAATAATCTTTTACCTGTTTCTGCTCTAACAAACTGAACTTTTGGAGAAGATAGGCTTTCATGTCCATAGACCCAGGTGGATTTCCAATCCCTGCAAGCACATAATTATTATCATGGAGACAACTACAGCCTACAATTATGCAACTAGCCTGTAATGGTGTTCATCAAACCAACCTATGCACAACCGTGGAAATTCACGACAACCATCCAAATGGTCCATCACACTCTTCACTCTGCAACAATTACCATTAACTTTCAGTAAAAAACAGCATTTGATTGGTTTTTAAATACTATTTTTTCAACTACGTAAAAGTTTCCAAATTATTCAAGTTTAAGGCACCACAAAGACAAGGATCAAGGTGGTATTAAATATAATATAAGGTTTCACCTCTCTCTCTCTCTCTCTCTCCCCCCCTCTCTCTTTTCTTCATGGTATGAGGTTCAACAAATTCAAGCTGAAGGCAGGACAAAGTACAAGAATTGAGCAACCTACCCCAAAAATAACCTAAATGAAGAACTGAGAGGAGAGTGATTCTACCCATGCAAGTCTCCAATTGTTTTCATTAGTTACACGGGACTAAAGGATGATGAAAGTTTTGCATGAAGACTACAATTTAATTGACACTGTAGCAGGCACAAAAAAGGTACTGATTTTCTGCAGGTTGATGATGGGTTAATGGTAAACTTCCAATACTAGAAATGGGACAAGAAAACCCAAGAGAATCGTTTGACTTTGCGATGAGGGACCAAAACCTAGATCTTCCCAAACCCCACCCACAAGCACAAGTTAAAAAATTTGGGGCATCAATCAAGCCAAGTCAAAATGCTTGTATAATCACACAGTGGAATATTAATAGCTAATGAATTTAATATACCAACTTTTTTCTGTAGTCTATTTATTTATTATTTTTGGGATAAGCAAAGTAGAATTTAGATTAAAGAAGGTGCCAAGGGGTATAAAATGGGTCAGGGGAAAAAAATTCTAATTAATGAAAGGCCTATCCAAGACTCTAATCCAATCGAAGGTAGCAAAACTCAAACCCCTCCTCTACTCCCCTCCACTCCGACCTATTTTGTTCTACCATAAAAATTGATGATGCTAATAAGCTAACCGAAATTTTTAAATCTCTTCCACATCTCGCTTTGCTTCCTGCACTCTTTCTTAAATCTGTACACCATTCATTCTTGGCCTCTTTTTATGCTTCAACCACTGTCTCCCGATCAACTACAACCACCATTTCTTCACCCCCTATCTTCCCTCCCTACTGCGCAACTACTACTCGCATTTACTTCTTACATTCAATCTTTCTTTCCTCTGCCTTCGCCACACATGGTGTTTTCTCGCTCCTGTCATTGATCTATATTTGTTTCCACCTACCTTACCAACAACAACAGATTTATTGTTTGGATGCTTCTTTTTGTGCAGCATTCTGTGTTCCATGAAAACAAAGAAGGCATTGACATGCCTCTTAGGTTTATCCTATTGATTCTCATTTTTCTCAATTCACATTATTTAGAAGGCAAACTCAGTGAGCAAGTCTATTTAGGCCTCTAAATAAGCACCTTCTCCCAATAACACCCTTAAATCTTCAAAACCTTAAGGAGTAGATTGTTGCTAGATCAATCACCTTGTCTAGCAGACTGTAATGGTTTTACTATAGTCTTGGTTGATAAGCTAGTAATTTTCCCTTGATATGCTGCTTGAGTCCAAGAAATATCAAGTTTCCTCTAAATAGAATAAAATAAGGCTCTTAAAGAACAGAAGCAGGCGTAGCCTAAGGCGCATCACCGTATAAAGAGATGAGATATATTTACTTCAGATAGAATATGATTCAAAATGACCAAATTACTACTTAGAAAACATAATAAAGCATGTAGTTTATTACAATCATTTTTTAGGGGACAATACCCGTTGTGATAGCCATGCCCTCCTTTTGGCTGTAGCCTCAAAATGCCATTCGGCAGGCTCATCTCATCATAAACCTACATTGACAATTACCAAAAACATGTATTGTTAACATCGCTCAAAAAGTATTGAGTAAATACATGTAATCACTTGTTTAAAGAAATCAAGTTATTTATGCTCTGAAGTTGCATACCAATAGGATATGACGCAAGGGCACCTGATAATATGCAGCAAGTGGTCCAACCTTGAGATTTGAAAAATAAAATAAAATAAAATAGAGAGTTAGAGAAAAGAAATATATACTTTAAGAAAGTAATGAATTACATAAAAATCCATCTATCTCCGTTGAAGAAGTATTAACATATTTAACTTTCCAAACAGATGATTTGGGATTCTTCAAAAACATATTGGAAAATTGCATACAAGTACTAAAACATTAATGGCTGAAGTGAAAGTTGAGAACAAACCGACTCTCCACTAAAATTCATGTAGGCTTGAGGTTTTGCCAACAGAATCGGTACCTCTCCTATAGAACCTGTACTGATCACATGAGACAGTTTTGAATCAATATTATTAGATTCAGAACTCATCACTCTATGCCAAAAAATTGAAACATAGTAAGCTGTGCAACAACAACTAAGTAAATTAAATAAACACAAATCAATAAAAACAATTGAACAAGCACCTATTCCAACTAAGGCCTTTGATTGTATTGTGTTCAACTGAACTCCTTCCACTTGAGAAATGCAATCAATCATTTCAAAACCAACCTGATATACATCTTTTACTATTGTAAGCGATTGTAAAAGACAAGAATAAAACATCATCAATAATAAAAAGCAAGAACAGAAAATAAAAACAAGAATTGAAACAATTAATTTTAAGCATATGGGATTATTACATTGTGCCGAGTTTCATGATACTTGCTCCCAGGGTTTCCCAGTCCAACAATTAGCCATGGAGTGTACTCCACTTTAACCCCATTGGGATCTGACAATAAAGCCGATACACGAAGCCTTGTCGGAGCTGGGTACCTTCGACAAAAAAGAGGGCTTCTTTGGTAGGATATGCAAGTTTTTGGGGCAGAAACTGCATACAACATCGATCTGATACCAAAAAAAATGCAATAACATGAGTAGGAATTTGCACGCCAAGAGCCAAACCCATTACAATCTTGCATGCATATATATAGGGAGATTCTACAATACACACCTATCTTTACCAATATATGCAAGTTATGATATTTTGTGAGTGTTTTTACCACTCCATGTCATAACCAAAGCACTCTTAGATTATAAACAAAACAATAATCATAAACCATAACGAAACCATAATCAATCCCACAATGGTCATAAAAAAGTACAATTTTTTTGTGTGTATTATAGAATTTCCTATATATGGGAATGGGCAAAAAAATGAAATAGAGCAAAGAATTGGGTCCGCCAGTATGTTCAGAGATTGTTCAAAGCTAAGCTCGTCTCTGTAGCCAATCCCAACAATCAGAGAGAGAGAGAGAGACTGGGACAGCAAAAGCAGTTCGAATTTTTCAGTAGAAAAACAAATTAAAAAAATATATTACAGTTGGGGGGTGGAATTTTACACTGTGTTTGGATTGAGTGATTCGGAGAGAAAAGAAAAGAAATAGAGAGAAATGTATTTCTCTTCCTTGTTTGGTTATCTTAAGTGGAGAGAAATGGGGAGAAATAGAGAGAAATTGAGAGAAACTCATTTCTCTCATAATCCTTATTTTCAATCTTTCCAAAAGTAGAGAGATTGGGAGAGAAAAGAAATCCACAAATGTTTATATTTTCATAATACCAATTTTATCCCTATAAAAATAAAAGAAATAAAATGATTGAAAATATAAAAAGGTTATTTTGGTAATATAACATAAAATAATTTCTTTTCTTTTCTCTTAATGAAATCTAACCAAACAAGAAGGAGAGAAATCAAAATCAAAATCATTTCTTTTCTTTTATTTCTTACTTATTCAAACAAAAATGAGAGAAATTACAATCATTTCTTTTTTTTTCTTTTCTCTTATTACTTAAGTAATCATTTCTTTTCTTTTCTCTCCGAAGTTACCAAACATAGCGTTAAGGAATTGAAACAAACCTTGTCTGTTATTTCGATAGTTTCAACCCGAATACTGGATTTGCCTTCGAAGATGGTGGAGAGAGAGAGAGAGAGAGAGGAAGAGAGAGCTCAAGCTCAGAAGTTGATCTGTTCCGCAAGTATGCAATTACCCTCACCCGAAAGAGCTCTCTTGCACGTTGTTTGGATGCAGCGATAGCCTGTAACTGTCAAGCTAGATAGATCAATTTTTTGCCATTTCTATAGATTTTGCTAAAATTATGTCGTGAAGTAAATTACAAATGCACTCATAAATTTTATTTAAAATATTTTTAAAAATTATATCTCCCCAAGTCGCATAAAAAAAAAAAAAAAAAAACTTTCATTAATCAACAATTAAGTTTTAGGTGGTGATTGATAAAATTAAAAATTAAGTATTAAAAGTTGAATGTTGATTTTTAATATGAAAAACTGTTTAATAAAAATTTAAATGATGAGCTAAAAAAAAATTATTTGATATGTATAAAATCAAACTTAAAATTTATTATTTTTAAATTGTACATTTCAATTTTATATTGTGATGGTGGTGGTGGCGGTATGGTGGTGGTGATAGTAATGGTAGTGTTGATGGTAGTGGTGGTAGCAGTAATAAAATAATGGTGGTACTTATGGTAACAATAATAATGGTGATAAAGGTGGTGGTGTTAGTAGTGATGGTGGCATGACGATGGTGATGGTAACAACAGTGGCAATGGTGGCTATGACATGGTAGTAGTGATGGTAATGGTAACGATGATGGTGGCGGTGTTGACGATGGCATGATAGTGGTGTTTGTGGTGACACAATGGTAATGGTAGCGGTAACAATGATGATGGTGGTGGTGACATGATGATGGTGATGGTGGTGGTAGTGGTGAGTTTATAATAATATATATCGATAGTTATAATTAGTATTTTATAAATTCAGCCAGAATTAATGATCCGTTTGGGAAGCCAGTTTGGGATAAAATAGTCATATATGACAAAATTGGTTATTTTAGTCAAATAGGATAAAATGCCACATCTGATTCATAATCATTTCATTTTTTCTCTCACAAAAATCAAAAAAGTCAAAAAACCTATCACAAATTAAGTTTTTTAGCTCTAAGCTAAAATAGCCAAAAAATCAACTCACATCCCAAACGAACTCTAAAGTAAGTTTATTATGACTTTAGCCTACATTTTAATAAGAGCTTAAATTTTTAAGTGATATCAATTATGGTTATCAAACAGACTTAATTGATTACCACTTAATATATTTAGTTTGAAGTGCTTAATCAAGTTATCAAACACCCCTTTAATTAATATTTTTTAAAAATTTTAGCAATATATTTTAATTAATAATTATGATAATTTCATTATTCTATTAAAGGATAGTTATGAATTTTATTTTTTGATTCAACTTTGTTAAATGACACATTTTAACAAAAGAGTATTTGTAATTTTGAAAATTAGAGTGGGTGATTTATATTTTAAACCAACCTTGATAAATATATTTATAATTTACCATATATGTGTGGGTAATTTTCTGACCACACTGCCCGCCTAGTAATCAGCTGGAGAGCACCAGCAGAATAGATGGCTTTAACAAACCTGTAACAAAAAGAAAAGGCTCCGGCGGTGGCTCTTCCACCCAGGAGCACTCCGACGATCAAGTCAGTATATCTCTCAAAGATAATCAAGTGCTAAACTCACAAGCTTGAATATAAAACTGCGTACCTTAGACCCACGGGGGTGCCTCTCTTTTATAGTTTACTCAATCCAAGTCCTACTAGAAGCCTGACTTCTATGGACTCCAATTTAGTACTTACTTTGGATTCCTCAAGAGATAAAGATAAACTCTTTAAGAGCTTTATCCTTATCTTAGCAAAAGTCTTCTCTTTTCTCTAGGACTCTTGTCCCTTATCTGATTATCTCGGATTCCGATATCTTCGGAGATAACCTCGGCCTAGCCAAGATAACCTCGGCACAACTACCACGACACGTGGCATGTCGGCTGACACGTCGGCGTCACCATGCCACGTGTTGGTACTCAGAAAATATATCCCCACAACTGCCCCATAGGTTTTATTACCTCGGTATCCTGAGGTGATGGAACCTATATCGATATTTCTTTCTGCATATTGGCTTAAAAACTGTTTAGCCGAGATCATTTATGTCAGGCCGACGTTTTCTCTTCGGAGAACAAGAACTCAAACAAATTCCCTCACGCGCATGAGCTGCCATGCATTTCTTCTCAACCGTTCCCCTTACGTGTTCTATCTTCATTGGCCCGTGTCTGTGACGCGCTTGTAAGCCGTCTTTCACCTGTCTGCGCCGTCTGACGCATACGTTCCTCCAGGCGCAATAAATGCCCTGTTTTACCGCCGTTTCAAGTTTTTGATAAAACTTTTCTTTCCATCTTCATTTCTTTACTTTTGCATTCGATTTTCTGGCTCTCTCTCTCTCTCTAAACTTTCTTAAACCCGCCATTGCTTTAGCTCCAAGCTCTGCAACCGTCTTCATTCTTCCATTCCAGCGAAGCTTTCGTCGTCCCGTCTTGTCTGCAACCGTTGCCTTACCTCGGCGACTTTCATTCTGGCTTCATTTGTTCTGGTAAACCTCTGTTCCTCTTATTCCCAATTTCTTTTATGTGCTTTCGTTTACTTACTGCCATTATTGCGCTGTTCAAACCTTTGATTTGCTGAACTATTCATCTGGATGCGTCTATTCCATGATTTTACTCATATCTTGAACACTTGCACTGTTTTAATACTTTTCTTGCCACTGTTCTTGACCTTTTACTTCTGTATTTCTTTCGCTTTTGAGAACCATACCTCTATTCTTCGTTTCTGAAACGTCATTCTTTGTTTCTTGTTTTCTGTTTTTCCTTTTCAGATCTGTGCCTTTGATCTTGATCTTGATCTTCATAGTTCTTAGGCTTGGGATTTGTTTGTAGAACCTTTAATTTAGGGAAAACTGAAACAAGCCGTACCAATACTCTCCTAGGTTTTTGCCGAGGTTCTAATAACCCTTTAAGAATACCTTTTTTCTGAGACCTAGCCCTCTGATTTTAGGCCGACGTTATGGGTATGTGGAGACATATGGTAGATACCCCGACCAAACTTGAGTACTTCAGGTGGGAGTTCTCAATTCCTGCCGATATCCATCTGAGGCTGGCTGAAGATAATGACTCTATCATGCCCACAGATGATTCAATGCCCTTTCCTATAGTAGCTTTTGAGAGGGTGATTTATGATCAGGAGTTGGGCCGAGGTAACGGCCGAGCAGATTGAGAGCCCAACGGTGCATGGGGCCGAGATGATTGACCATCCGCCAAGAAATGGGCTGCCAGAACCTGGGTCGGGCAGAACTTAGGCCAAGCGTGAGCCGCCTCGGCCCAAGTTGGAGCTCGGCTAGATAGCGCTTGGTTGGACCGAGCTGCCTGATCAGGGGATGGCTGAAGCCAGACAAGCTGAATGACCGGCGCCCGGTAAGGCGTGGTCAACCGAGGAGACTGTTTGACCGGCAGGAAGGCCGACCAAAGGAGGTACCCGGGCTAGGCTTTGCCGGGATGCCGCCTAGACCGGTCCTCCATGTGTTTATCCGGTTAGGCGCATGGGTATGAAACATGGCATGGCCGTGGTAGAGCAGCTCGGCTGCCGAGCTCCAGCTGTGAAGTCAGGCAGTTGAGATTAGGTGATGTTCAGCAAGGTCTATGCTGACAGATGGGATAGCAGAGCCACGTGTCAAGAGATGACTGTGAGTGGGTAAGGGGCTCAGAAGGTATATAAGCATGTCTGCGCCCCCCATACGCGACACACGAACATCTCTGTAAGGAATTCTTACACTTAAACACTCTCTCCCTTCTCTCTATCCGTCCTAAGGTGTGTGCTAACTTGATCGTCAAAGGGTTTTTTCGGCCACACACTGCCGGGTAGCTCACCGTTACTTGCTCGTAGGTGATCGGACATCGACGGAGCTCGGAAGAAAGGAGTACGGGCTTGCTGGAATATTTGCTCCCCGTACAATTGGCGCCGTCTGTGGGAAACTTGACAGACAAAACCTTGTCTTCCAGGTTCATCTGATCGCCGTCCATGGCGAACAACGACGAGTTTTCCGATTGTCCGCCCATCGACGGAGCCACCCCGAGTATCCCGGAAAAGAGAGAGGACCTTCCTGCTGTCCATCCAATGGCTGACTTGGGAACGCCCACTGGCGGACAGTCTGGAGACGCGCGGGACAAGCGCGGACGAAGTCATGGACATTCACGGAGTCCAGACGGTCACCGGCGGAGGAGAGACTCGCACGCCAGGCGACTGGAAAGCAAGTTGAGGGATCAAGATGCTGTCATCCGGCGAATGGCGGCGGAGATGGAAGATCTCAAGCGGCATGTCAAAGGGAAGGGTGTAGTTGGAGTGGGAGACCACAGTGAGCGCACCCCATCCCGCCGTTCAGGCGGTCAGAGTCAGCGACGTACTCAGTCAATATCCATTACCAGAAGTTACCAGGTTAGTGATTCCGACGTGGGTGCAGGGAAGTCTAGCGCGCAAGACATCACCTACAAACCCTCACGTCCGGAGACGAAGTCGAGGTACTCTTACTCTGCTCAGTCAGAGGATTTACGGGCGGTCTTAAAGGAGCGGGCCCGCCGGCGCGAAGCATAGAGAATACCGGCGCTCCAGCGGTTATCTTATGGGGTACACGCCAGTGAGGAGGTTGGAATGCCTCCACGCCAAGCAGTGCCGCTCTTTGAAGATACAGACTTGGCCAGGCTGAGCGCCACCCCATTTTCCCTGGATATAGAAACAACACCGCTTCCGGCAGGCTTCCACCAGCCTAAGTTCACACTTTACGACGGGAAAACCGATCCTTACATGCATGTGAGTCACTTCCGACAGGTTATGGCCGGACATAGGCGTAATGACGGACTTATGTGCATAATCTTCCCGTCAAGTTTGGGCGAGCTGGGCTTAAAGTGGTTCGAGCGGTTGCCGGAAGGGAGCATACAAAGGTGGCATCAGTTGGCCGAGGCGTTTGTTACACGCTTCAAAACCAACACAAAAACACCAAAGGAAGTTGATCATCTACTAAGTGTCAAGATGGAACCACACTGAAGGTATACAACTCAAGGTACTAGGAAACCTTCAACGAGATCTTGGACTGCCCGGTCAACCTTGCAATCACGCAATACAAGCGTGGTCTCCCGGTCGGACATAGACTGCGGGACTCGCTTACCATGCATCAGCC